GTTCCTCCACCCTGCACCCCCAAAGTCCTGTCAGTGCACAGTCCAGCCGGGGCGACGCATTCACCCTTGCAAGACCCATTCGGTTCTGCCACCACATACCCTATACCTTGCCAGTGCACCTCCCATGTCCCCTGCCAGTTCAACCACCAGATGCACAATCACGCGTGCACAAACCACGCACCATGAACCCAAGTCCCTGTAGTGCACACACCAGTAGCCCCTGGCCCACCACTCACCCACTGTCCCCAACTCACGCCAACACCCATCCCAGACCTTGCCACGCCCCAGTACACACCCAGGCGCGCAGACACTGCCAACACATCCCTGCTATATCTGCACGAACACAGCTCCCCCCACCATGCCCTCACCATCTTAAACTCCCCATATGCCCATTACAGACACCCCACCCACGTTCCCAGCCCAGAAACACTGCAATCCACCCACCCGAGAGCGAAGTCCCAACACAAACCCACACCCCAGTGGCTGACACTCCCCACTCCCCAGGCAGGCACTTCCAGCATCCCCAGCAAGCACTCTCATACACCCCAACATGCACGCACACTTGCTTGATTGCATGCTCTCCAGCATCATGCCCCGCCCCCATCGCAAATAGCCCTCAACACTCCCCCACCACATCGCTGAGTTCCTCCCACCACTCCTCCCCAACACCTGGCAGAGGGCTATAGAGGCTGCAGCATTTGGTGGCATCTCTGCCAGGCACCTCTGGCTCTCCTTCAGCAGCGGCTCACCAGCCTAGGCACTCCTCACCCTGCCAGGTGCCTCCCTAAGCAGACCTTGAGACTCCCTAGTGACTGGCACGACCTCTTCCCTAAAAGATAAAGAAGGCACTTGGGGCCCAAGGTATGGTACTTAGATGTGGAGGCGAGGGGCTGCGGGGATGGGGGTGTAGAGAGAGGCAGGCACTGAAATGGAGGAGGCCCAGCTGGGCCCAAAGGAGTGCCAATTGCCCGGCCCGCACGTAGTGGGTTGGTTTCACGAGGGCTGGAGTCCTCGTGCACTGTTTGTGTCCCTGTCTGCGTGTGTGCTGGGGGGAGGGCTGTGTGTGCACGTGTGCTTGTGCGTGTCTGGGAGGAGTGTGTGATTCGGCAGAAGGAAAAAGCAGGAGCAGCACCCTCCTGGGCTCCCCCAGGCAACAATTGGTTTCATTCATTCATGCCTTCTTTGTTAACGAGCATTTCTTCGGTGAGCTCCGGGCGCGTGCCAGGCCCTGCACTGGGGGCTGGGGCCAGCTTGGGGCCGGGCACACACCCGTTCCTGCCTTGGAGGAACTCCCAGTCCCGCGAGGAACCCGACCAGGAAAAGCAGAAAGCCATCCCCAGCGGAAAGTGGATTTGGTGGAAAAGACACTGGATTTGGCAGGAATGCTGTCGCTGGGAGTTGTGCTCCTAGCCATGTGACCGGGCCGCGACAGCCGAAATCCTGCCACTCGGCCCGGCGGGAACGGTGCAATTGGCTGGAGTGGGGGGGGCGGGGGAGGCGGGGCGCTGCTCCTGGGAGGCTACCCGGACCCGAGAGCGCACGCGGCACGCGCTGGGCCTGCGGGCGACGGCGTCCGGGCGGCCTCCAGGGGGCGTTGGCCCAGCCAGGCGAAGGCCAGGGGTACTCAGCGGGGGCGGCGGTGGGCGCAGCGCCCATCCTGCGGCGAGCTGCGAACGCGTCGCCTGGCTCCGCCCGCCAGAGGGGGCTAGGCGAGGCCCGGGCGCGCGGCAGTCTCCCGTATCACAGCCCGCCAGGGGAGCAGTCGCGGGGCGGGGCTAGCGCCCGGAGCAGGCGCTGCAGGGGGCCTGAGTAGGGGCGGGCCGGGCGAGAGTGGGGGGGAAGGGGGCCGGGGCTTGGCTGCACTCAGCCCTGCAGTGCGGAGGTGGCAACAGGTTCCCATTTGTCCTGTTGCTGGCGTTGCGCGCGCTGCAGGCGCCGGGCACAGAGCACTGCACTGACTTTCGTGATTGAGAGCCCCTCACCCCCTTCACTCCCTCCCGTTTCCCCGGTAGGAGGCCTCACCAGCAGGGATCTGGAACAAGGTGTAGGGCAACCACTCTTCAGGTGTTAGGAGACGCAGGATTGTTGGAGTCTAGACTTCCCTTTCCTTCGCCATTGCAGAGGTTGCTTTCCTCCTCGTCCTCATCTCCCTCCTCCTCCAGCTACAGTCACCTCCTCCAGGAAGCCCTCTCCAGACAGCAATGCCTGGGCACCTCAGGAGTACCAATTTCCTTCGGGTTGGCGATTCTCTCTGAGCACACTGAGCCCCCATGACAGGGTGGATGGGGCACGTGCCTCTCCAGACCCCCTTGCTGCTGCTACCCCATCCACAATGTGACTAAACCCCAACCCTGCTTGCCAGGCCAGGACATTGCAGAACTTCCGTGGTGCCTTCAACTTCTGTCCATCCCAAGGTCCCACCCACAGCTGCAGTGGGGTCTGGAAGCAGCACATAGGCTGGGTACCCATGGCCAGGTGGCAACTAGTGCCTGCGTCTGTCAGTGGAGCTACAATGTGAGAGATGGAGAAGGTAGAAGGCAGAGTCCCTCTTCCAGGAGTGCACTGTGAAAAGGGGAAATGGGCCATGCCACAGCCTAAACCCATGAGACCAAGGAGCACCAAAAAAGGACCCTACAGGCTGGCCCAAGGAAGGGGGCTGGAGAAAATGCAGAATCTGGGCAGGCAGCCTATATGTAGGAGAGAGGCCTGGGCTGGGACCCCTGCCCATAGGACTAGAGGGGCATGGCCCAGTCATCCAGATCCCCTGCATGCAGGTGTTGGTACTGTAGAGGAAGGGACATGGTGGGTGTGGCCAAAGATGAGCCCACCACTTATGGCCTAGGAGTCTGAAGCTGACAGCCCAGGGAAGGAAGGGAGGGAGAAGGCAGGCCTAGGTCCCATAGAGGTGACCTAGCTTTCCATAGCCTGCTGCTTCCCTTAGCATCCCTTCACATGATGTCTCATCTTACCATGTGGTTCATGAGGGAGGCTTTTCAACACGCATGGGAACGGCCTGCAGTAATTCTAAGTGTTGGGCTTCTCGGTGGCTTTGCGTTTTTTACGTCTTAGAAAAATGTTTTGTGGTACCCATCCTGTGTGAATAGGTCTGCTTGTTTTTATTTAGTTCCTTATGGTAGATTCCCAGAAGTGGCCAAAGGTATGGATTTTTTGTCTAGCTCTTAACGTACATTGCCAGATTAATTTCCAAAAGGACCAAAATCACCCAGCAAGAGAACAGCATGCAGTTTCTCTGCAGCCTTGCCAATGCTGGGTGTTCTCATTTTGAGAACATTCTACTAATGTAGCAAGTGGGAAGTGTTACCTTGTTTTGCTGTTGTTACCTTGTTTTTTGAATTGGCTTTCCTTCCATGACTGAGATTAAATCATCCTCCAAATATTTTTTACCCCATCACATTCCTTCCTTCATGCAGTTTGCAGTCTTTTTAAGTTCCTTATAGATTTATCTACCAGGGTCTTAACCTTTTGATTATTTTGTATGAGCTTTATCTTATCTGTTGTATGTTTTCCTTCAACACTGTTATTTGCTTTTGTTGGGCTTTAAGCAGAGAAAGGACACATAGCCAGATGGGGCATTTTAGAAACCTCTTCCAGCCCTCCTTTCATTGTCTCAGCACTTATCATCCCTGATATTTTGTTCAGTCTCTTAGCTTATCGTTGATCTGTCCTGCTGGTCTGGGAGGGAGCACCAGGCATGCAGGAACCTTGTGTGTCAGGCCTGTTCATCACCTGTGTCCATGGAAAGGATGGAGGCAGACAGCCTTTGTAGAATGAATGGCATTCTGGCACAGGACAAGGCAGGGTGAAGGACAAGTTGATGCAGGACGCAGGGAGACCATTTTGGAATCTATGACAGTGACTTGGCCAAGAGACGGTGAATATGAGCCCACAGCTAGTGGTGCAAACAGAAGGATGTGGGTAGAAAGTACTTCCCTCCAGATGGATCTGTCCAGGAGGTTAAGGAAAGGAGGCAGGTGGAGGAGCCAGGGGTGACTCCTAGGCTTAGTGTGATATGGATGTAGTGCCTCAGTTTAAGGCTGGGTGCTCAGAGCTCCTGGGCATCTTTACTCAGGCCTGGGCAAATGAAGGCGGTATGGGGATAGGGTGCTGAGGAGCTTCCCTGTGCCTGCCTATCCCACCAAGGAGTCTTGGGCAGAGCTTTGGACCCAAGATAGCAGCAGGTTTTCTAGTCCTGCTTCTTCCTCTCCTCCATGAATTCAGAGACAACCCCACAGCGGCCCAAGGTGGTGGCTCTGATGAGCCCATTATACGGATGGGGCCACTGAGGTCCCAGTGGGAAATACGGTGGTCCAGGACCACTGAGTGAGTTGTTGGAAGCAGCTTCTGGAGCAGGAGCATGGGGCTTTTGTCCCCACCCCTCCCCCTGCCTCCAGGGGCCAGGCTGGCGCCGGCCAGGGGAGCTGTAACTGGTTCCCTGCTGGGCCCCTGACCTGCCCTTGGCCTCTGCCCTGACCCTGTCCCGCTTCGGTGGAAGCCCCAGCTCAGCCTGCCACTCGCGAGTCCCACCCGACTCCTTTCTCTTGCACCCGTTGGCTCGTCGACCCCTCTGGGCCCGCCCCGCTGCCCCGCCCCGGCCCGCCCCTCTGAGCTGCTACTCCACGTCCCGAGGCCGAGCCTTCCTAGGTGGAAGCTCAGTCTTGCTGCCAGGAAGCTGCCGGCGCGCGAGCTGCGCGCGAGGCTTGGCTTCCACGTGCGAGCCTGCTCCGCCACCCCGCCTCCTCCTGGCCGCTGGGCCTGGGGACTCCCTGCTCTGGGACGGCGCCCCGCGCCCTGCCATTGCAGTAACCCTGGCCGGGACATCCACGCGCGGCAGCCTGCCGCCAGATCCAGGTCTCTCTCCTTTTGTTCTCTCCTAGGGGGGAGGACTGGGGCCGGAACAGCTACTAGAGGGTTTGCCGAAGCCGGTCACCTCGTCGCCACTTTTCCCTGGGCGCGTCTGGCGGTGGGGGAGATCGAGGCTTTGAACCCCATTCCTTCGCACGCACACACCCCCAAAGTCGTAAGCTCGAACTTGGGGCGTGATAACGGGCAGGCCTAACGAAGGAGCCAGAAAGGAGGTGTGAAGGAGGTGGCTAGGGCTGGGACGCCCCCGGAGGAGCCTGGAAGGGGCTGTTAGACACCCGCTTGTCTTCTGGGAGACCCTCACGCCTCCCCAACCCGGGCAGGGAGCAGCGCGCCGGCGCCCGAGTGGCTGCCGCGGTGCTTTTCTGGGGGCGCCTCTTTCTGTGTTCTCGCTGCGGGTGGGGGCGCGGGGAGAGGAACGGGAGGTGTACGAGTGTCCCTGCGAGATTCGGCGCCCGCCTTCAGGACTTGGGGCTAGCTTTACATCTCAGCCCCGGAGCGGCAGTCCGCGGGGACCCGAGCTCACACCGCGCGCCTTCCCTCTCTCCGCAGCGCCTGCCCGACGTGCAGAGAACCGCGCGCCCATGGAGAGCCTGGGTCGCTCGTGCCTGTGGCTTCGCCGGGAGCTGTCGCCCTCGCGGCCGCGGCTGCTGCTCCTGGACTGCCGCAGCCGCGAGCTGTACGAGTCGGCGCGCATCGGCGGGGCGCTGAGCGTGGCCCTGCCTGCGCTGCTGCTGCGCCGCCTGCGGAGGGGGAGCCTGTCGGTGCGCGCGCTCCTGCCAGGGCCGCCGCTGCAGCCGCCTCCCCCTGCCCCGGTGCTCCTGTACGACCAAGGTGGGGGCAGGCGACGGCGCGAGGGCGAGGCCGAGGCTGAGGAGTGGGAGGCTGAGTCGGTGCTGGGCACCCTGCTCCAGAAGCTGCGGGAGGAAGGCTACCTGGCATACTACCTGCAAGGTAGGTATAGAGTGGACTTGGTGGGCACCTGCCAGGGGAGGACCCCTGCCTAGGGAAGCAAGACCTTGCCTTCCAAGGGGATTCATAATTAATTTGACCTTGGGTAAGCCCCGTCTATTTTGTCTAAAGTGGAGGTGAGACTCCCTCTCCCAACAGCTGCTAGGCTGCTTTCAGGGGAGGGGAGCCTGATCATGACCTTGGGCAGGTCCTTCTTCACCCTTGAGAAGCCCCAGTTCTTAGTCTAGAAAATGGGGAGAACTGGGCTGAACTGACCTAGTTAACAGGATGCTCAAAAACAAAGTCCTACGTTTGGGATCCCTGTGTCTGGCCAACAGCTTCCCCACCTTCCTGGTGCTCCCTACTCCCCTGTACCTCAAAGGAGGCAGAGGCCAGACAGCAGGAGGGAAAATCCCAGGCCCTGAGATGGTGGGGGAAAATCCTGGAGAAGGTGTGCAGGCAGGAGAAGGCATGAGGACAAGGGACCAGCCTCCCCTGTAGTCAGGGCAGGGCCCTGGATGTACAAAGTGGAGGCAAGTTGATACAGGTCTGTTGGCCCTGTTCAAGCCAGATGCCCCCTCCCCAGAGGCCCAGTGCAGGGGCAAGGTTCCTGTGAAGCTATAGAGGCAGCTGTCCCCACCTCCTGATCAGTTGGTCACCAAGAAAGGTCAATTGGGCTGTAATGAGAATATATAAATATAGAAAGTGTCAGATTTCCAGGTCCCCACCCCCAGCTCAGGGAAATGATCGAATCTGTAGACGAAAGAGTTGCTGGCTTCTCAGGACTTTGGAATCATTCAAATGGAATGTCATACTCTCTCCCAAGCTCCCCATTTCTTGGGGTCCCACTTCATCCCTTAGCGTTCTCCTGACCACACCCGATCAGGAGATGCCCAGGTAGAGAACTGACACCCAAACCTTCTTCTTTAACTGATGATTGCTGTCTTCAGTTGAGCCCTCACATCTGCCTTAGCTCTCAGCCCAGGAGCTCTAAGATCCTCTTGGGTGGCTCTGTCAGGACTCAGCTTCTTGCATCTCCAGTGGCCACAGTGGGCACTTGTCATCCAGTGCTGCATGAGGATTGCTAGGGCGCCCACAGCGTACCACACATGGCCCCCCCTGTGTAAATGAAACACCCCTTGGCTCTTTTGTTCCGTTTGGGGAGATCTGCAAACCCCCTAGGTTGTATAGGGCCAGCTCCCTAACCCCTGCCAGGGGCACTTGGCTGCTCAGGAAGCCAGGTCAGCAGGACCCTTTGCTTCTCCCTCCACAGGTGGCTTCGCCAGATTTCAGGCCGAGTGCCCTCACCTGTGTGAGACCAGCCTCAATGGTGGTGCTGGCTCAAGCATGGCCCCAGTGCCCAGCCCAGTGCCCGTGGTGGGACTGGGTGGCCTGTGCCTGAGCTCCGACTGCTCTGACGCAGAATCTGAGGCTGACCGCGACTCCATGAGCTGTGGCCTGGATTCAGAAGGCACCACGCCTCCCCCAGTGGGGCTGCTGCCATCCTTCCCGGTCCAGATCTTGCCCAACCTCTACCTGGGCAGTGCCCGGGATTCAGCCAACTTAGAGAGCCTGGCCAAATTGGGCATCCGCTATATCCTCAATGTCACCCCCAACCTCCCTAACCTCTTTGAGAAGAATGGTGACTTTCACTACAAGCAGATCCCCATCTCTGACCACTGGAGCCAGAACTTGTCCCAGTTCTTTCCAGAGGCCATTGCATTCATTGGTGAGTCTACCTTGCCCTCTCCTTCCTTCCTCTCCACTGCACCTCACCTCCAGCCTCTCCCATTTCTTCTCCCTCTCCCTTAAGAGAATTCTTCCCAGGCTTACCTGCCATTCCCAGAGCAGGGATAACCCTTCTAGGGTGGGGGTGGACAGGGCTCAAGCCAGCTCCAGAGCCTGCTAGCAAAACCTCCAGGACTCTGAGGGCGAGGGGTGGGCTGCAAGGGCCCCTCTGGAAGGCCACCTGGCTATGGTCTCACACTGGTCCTTGGGTCACCGTGACTCTGCACTCCCCCACCTAGACGAGGCCTTGTCCCAGAACTGCGGGGTGCTCGTCCACTGCCTGGCAGGGGTCAGCCGCTCTGTCACCGTCACCGTGGCCTACCTCATGCAGAAGCTCCACCTCTCACTCAACGATGCCTACGACCTGGTCAAGAGGAAGAAGTCTAACATCTCGCCCAACTTCAACTTCATGGGGCAGCTGTTGGACTTTGAGCGCAGTCTGCGCTTGGAGGAGAGGCGCTCCCAGGGGCAGGGCAGTGGGGGCCAGGAGTCTGCCACCTCTGACCCCCCCTCCTTTTTTACCACCCCCACCAGCGATGGGGTCTTTGAGCTGGACCCCACATAAGACCACGTGGGGCTGGCAGGGCTGGTCCCCACCCATGACCCCACACCCAGTGGGTGCTCTAACCACCCATATAGTAGGGGAGAAGGGGGGAGGGGACTCAGCCATAAGCAGGGGGGTGGGGGGTGCAGGGGGAGGGAAAGCTCAATACCTCACTCGGGGGCGGTGGAGCAAGGCAGGGGCCAGAGCAAAGACCTGCCCTACCCACTCTCAGCCTATTAAACGTGCCTAAGGGCCGGCCCCAGGGCCATCGGCCTTACCTGTGCGCTTTCGGGTGGGACCACGCTCCAGAATCTGCCTCTTTTGCGACTGTTACTTTACTCTTTTGGGGGTGGGGTGGGGTTCCCTATCTGAAGAACCATTGCAGGTGGCTGCCTGTTCCCTGGGGCCCTGGGTGCTCGCCAGCTCTGCTAGGCCCTGGGCCTCCCTGCTATTTCCCCCTTCAGGAAAATTGTGTGCCACTTCCTTTGCCACAGGAACCTGCTCCCAGGCCCTTCCCTGTCCCAAATGGCCACTTGTGAGGAGAGAGTCACCACCACCACCACCAGGGTAGTCATCTCCCTGCTTGTCTGTCAAGGGCTTGGGTCTCTTAGGGCTGAGAGCCTCCCAGGAGATGTGGACCCAGAGATGCAACAACTGCCCGGCCTCCACAGGGACAGTCTCTCTGGGTGGCTTCTTACTGCGCCTGGGAGCCACTGGGCGGGTTCCCGGCCACACATCTGGCACCCTGACTGTTTCCTTCCTCCTCCCCCAGATGTCTTGACAGGATCACTAGGGCTCTTTGTGACTGAGGGTGGTCAAACTGCCACCGGAGGAGATGGGGTCTCAGAGCAAGAGCTGGGAGGGGAGGGAGGGAAGGATGAAGGCCTTGATTTTGCTGCTGCGGGTCCCACAGCCGCTGTTGGGGGGGGAGAAGGGGCCAAGCTGCAGACACACACGGTCATTCATTGCAGGCCACACCCCTTGTAGGAAGTGTACGTGTGCGCGCACGTGCACATCCAAGTTCACACATGCACACTAGCCTCCACTTACACGCTCGCCTGGGGCTGGCAGTCCCATCGCCCCCTCAAATCTGGAAGAGGGGCTATGCTTGTTTGTTTTTGTAATCCACATCATGATTGCTTTCTTTAATTGTTCCTCCTGAATAAACAGTTTATTTAAGATACTGAACAGAGAGGAAAGCTTCTTCATGAGCTCCTTAGAGGGTCTGGGGGAAGGTGGGGAAGGACCTTTTTGCCTGCTCCTAGGAGGGCATGCTGTGCTGGCCAGGGACTCAAGTGCCACTTCACATCCTCCATGTCATTTCCCAATCTCTGAGCCCCCATCCCCTCACCACACATCTGAGCTCCCACCCTGCCACACCTGCTAAAGACCAGGACCCATCAGCAAGCCAAACAGAAGAGGTTGGCTGCTTAGAGCTGCCTGGAGGGGAAGACTGGACTCAGTGTGAGTGAGTCACACAGTATGTATCCATTGCCTCAGAAAGCAGGGAAGAGAGCACCCAGATTCAGCCATGAAGTTTGGCAACCAATCCCCAAAACACAATGTGAATCAGACCCAAACCCTGCCTCAAGGCAAGCTCCCAGCAGCCCTGGTTAGACACCATCATGAGGTTGACGGGAGCTGTCGGGTGGCCCAAGCAGTGGGAGGACGGGCACTCTCGCTGACATAATGTGGAATTTGGACTTCGAAGGCCTAGACAGGGGGCAGAGAGGGCCCTGGGGGGAGTCTTTGGGCTATCTGAAGTGACAGATGGGGCCTGCCTCTCCATTCGGAACACTGACAGTGCCTTCTCCACAGCAGGCTGGAGGCGCTGGTAATACTGCAATTCTGCACCACAGAGATGGCAGAGCGGAAGGGCAGCTGGAGGGTGGGTGGGGAACAAGTGTAGCTTGAGAAAACAGCTTTGTGTCACTACAACAAATACCTGGGCTAATCAACTCTGGAGAGAGAGGGGTTATTTTGGCTCCCAGTTTCTGAGACTCCAGTCTGGGATCACTTGGTGCTGTTGCTTTACACTCATGGTGAGGCCACACATCACAGTGAGAGAATGTGTCAGAGCAAAACTGCTCACTCCATGGCCAGGAAGGAAAAGAGCATGTCCCCAATGGACCTAGGGACTGCCTACCAAGCGCCACCTCCCAGAGTTCCCACGACTTCCAAATAGCACCACTCTGGGCCAAGCTGTTTGGAGACATTCAGGGTCCCAACCACAGCCAAAGACTTGTGAGTAACATGGAACAGAAATGCGGGCAGTCCTTCTGCTCCACAGGCCCTGGAATTGGGATGAAATCTAAAACCATGTGACTGTATGGCTGAGCTGATGAGAAAATAAGAGAAAGGCTCTCAGGTAAGGAACAGTGAGGATCCTGGAGTCCAGTAAAGGGACTGCTCCAGGGGACAACAGGGCATCTCCTAGCCCAGGAGCCAGAAGCCTTCACAAGGAACACAGCCTTGCTGACCTCCAGAACTGTTAGAGGATAAAATTTTTGTTTGATAAAACTTAAGCTACTACCTTGTGGTAACTTGTGACAGCAGCAATAGAAAACAAACACAATAGATGACCTTGAAAAAATACCCCCACAAAAAGAGGTGAGGATGTGTGTTTATCTTGACCTTGGATTTGGGTGAAAGTAGAATAAAAGAAAAATGACACTCCTGAAAACTCATTGCCACAAGTGGAAATTCTCAATTAGAGGGGCCTATTCAGAATAATGGATGTTCCAGAATGTGTCTTGGAGAGACACAGTGATAGAGTCAGTGGGAAGCTGCAGGATTGGTCTTCAAACTGCATTTAACTCTCTTACACCCAGATTTCACTTAGATTGTGATAGCTTAATAAAAATAGAAAAGCTTAAAACATTAATAAAATACACTATTTAGTAATCCCAGCAGCTCAGGAGGCTGAAGCAGGAGGATGGCAAGTTAAAAGGTAGCCTCAGCAACTCAGTGAGACCTTGTCTCAAAATAAAATATAAAAAGGGCTGGGGATGTGGCTCCGTGGTTAAGTGCCCCTGGGTTCAATCCACGGTACCCGAAATAAAATAAAATAGATTGGAAGTTCTAGATGAAATGGTCCAGAGGTAGAATGGCTGCAGACTGCCTCTTTGAAGGGATGACCTTTAACCACAGGCCACAAAGAATTCCTATAGGAATTTTATTTTTTATTTTTTTTTTAGAAAGAGAAAGAGAGAGAGAATTTTTAATATTTATTTTTTAGTTCTCGGCAGACACAACATCTTTGTTGGTATGTGGTGCTGAGGATCCAACCCAGGCCACACTCATGCCAGGCGAGCGTGCTACCGCTTGAGCCACATCCTCAGCCCCAGGAATTTTAAATATATATAATGAAAAAATGTGTAAGGAATCAAGCTACCATGAGTGACAGAAACATACAAATATAAAAACTTAACTATCAATTCTAAGATAACAGATTTAAAACTTGTATGTCACAGTATATGATTAATATGTTTAAAGAAATAAAAATCCAGAGGTAGTGGTATATCAGCCACTTGGGAGGCTGAGACAAGAGGATCCCAAATTTGAGGCCAGACTGGTGAACTTAGTGAGAGCCTATCTCAAAATAAAATGAAAAGGGCTGGGGATGCATCCCAGTAGTAGACTGCCCCTGGGTTTAATCCCCAGTATGAGAGAGAGAGAGAGAGAGAGAGAGAGAGAGAGAAGGAATGACAAGAAAAAAAAGGTGAAAAAGAAGTCAAAGGAAGTATTTAAGGTGTGACAAAGGAAAAATAACTATAAAATGACCAGGTACTCTTAAAAAAGACCAAATAGAATTTCTAGAAATTGAAGATACAACTATTGATCAGTAAAGGACAGAATAGAGAGAATATTTTTTTTTCTTTTAAAAGATGGAATTTTCCAAAAATGGTAAAGGATTGGTTTTGGAAAAGATGCTAGAAGAGATGCTTAGTGTCCCCCAATCTCCATCTTCTCCTTCTCCCTTTTGGAAATTTTATTTCTAAATAAAATCACTGCTAATGGTGACTCTGTTCTTGCACATCGTCTGCTTTTTCCACTAGTACTCTTAGCATTTTAATCACAGTCACTTTAAACTCCCGGCCTGACAATTCAACATTCCTATCATATCTAACTCTGGTTCTGGCGCTTTGTCTCTTCAAACTGTTTTTTGCCATTGAAGTTTGTTGTAGTTTTTGAGAGCTGGATCTGGGTGAAAGGAACTGCTGTAAATGGGGTCTTTAGAGATGTGGTGGTGACGGGATGGTGAGGGGACGCAGTGTCCAACTCAATGACTAAGTCTCCATCTTGGGTAAGCCTGTGTCCCTGACCCATGACCTTCACCAATGCTTCTCAGACTCTGCCCCTGGTACACAGGATAGGATGGCTATGGCAGGCTGGAGCTGAGCTTGCCCATTCCCCCAGCTCGGTGAGCCTTCAGTAAAAGCCTAGAAGGACAGGTTCCTATTAACTAGTTTCTCTTGAGAACAGGCCTTGTTAAGAAGAGAATGCTCAGAACATATTTCAAAATGGTTTATTTCTCCCCTTCTCCTGACAGAAGCATGAGATCCTTCCCTGTGAGAATCTGATGGCACTTCTGGAGAGAAAACTCCCTAAAGCATGGGATGCCCTGAGACTACCCTCCCACAGCAGAACTCTGACTTGTCCTTACTGAGTCTCCAGCAACGCAGCAATTACAGTGCAGGTTTCTGTGCCCTGGCATTGGTTTGTGCTTGTGGGTTTCTGCTCTGGGTAGCTGGCATCTCTGTGTGCACCTGTGTCACTCCACCTGAGAGGCAGCAGTTTGCTCTGTGACCTCAATTATCTGATGGAACTAAGAGGAGTAGTTCATTTTCAGTTTGTTCAGCTTCTCTTTTGTTTAGGACGGTGTGAGGACTTGTCAGCTTCTTCCACACCAGACTGGAAACCCAAACTTTTATAGGTTGACTTTTCTTCCCATTATGGGTCACATTTGTTGCTGCTTCTACCTGGGCCAGAAAGCCTGGCTGGGAGAGCTCACCTAGTTTGGTTTCACTCCCTTGCAGACCACAGGCCTTTACTGACTGCTATTCATTAGCTGAAAACTATTGTTGTTGTTATTATTGTTGTTGTTGTTATTGTTGTTATTATTATTA